CATGGGTATTAAAAATAATGAATTGCGGTCATATTGGTCTACAGACCTGATTCATCATATGCTCATGTTTTCTGCTGTTACATATATGCCCAACAATGACCAGAAACATACCCGGTACATCACTGAACTTTGAGTGGTTATACCAGGATGATGGTTATCATTTTGTACTCACAAAGCTCATTCAGGCATGTAACAATCATAGACTGGGTAAAGTAAGAGGCCAATCTCTGCCCGCAACCAGAAATGAAGTCACCATGCTACATGTTGCATCACAGGTCACACGACTTCATCAGGGATCCCTGAGTAAATTCTTGTTTGTTCCTTTTACATACTAGAGACTTTTGCACTATGAGAAATCTTCTGTTCCTTGCTTTTTGAGTGCATATCCACTGAAGGAATATTGTAAGACAGTGGTATTGAATTAAAATTCAAGGAGGTCTTCCTCTGGCTGAGGTACAGAAATAAATGTCCCCATTAGTGTTCCCCCTTACATCCGGTTCCCCCCCCAGAGTAATTTATTAAATTAGGTGCCACCAGCATACTTCCCCCATAAATCAGTTGCCACCATCGGAGTACCCCCTGTATCAGGCGTTCCCATCAGAGCACCCCCTTAAGTAATGTGTTCCCATCAGAATGCCCCCATACATCAGACATTCCCATTAGAATGCATTCTCATCAGAGTGTCCCCTTACATCAGGCATTCCCATCATTAGGTTTCTGCATCAGATCACCCCCTTACATTGGTGTCTCCCATCAGTGTGCCCCCTTACATCAGTTGTCCCTATTAGAGTGCCCCATTATGTAAGGTTCCTCCATCATAGTGACACCTTACATATTGCTCCTTTACATTAGTTGTCCCCATCAGAGTGCCCCTCTTCATCAGGTATCCACATCACATTGACACCTTACATCAGATATTGCTGTCAGAGTGCCCCCTTACACTCATCATTTTACCCATTAGAGTGCCCCTTTACATCATATTCCCCATCAGAGTGCCCCTTTCCATAGTATGTGCGGGCAGCACAGTGGCTAAATGGTTAGCACTTCCGCCTGGCAGCACTAGGGTCATTGGTTCAAATCCCAACCACGGCACCACCTGCCTGGAGTTTGCATGTTCTCCCTGTGCCAACGTGGGTTTCCTCCGGGTACTCCGGTTTCCTCCCACACTCCAAAGACATGCTGGTAGGTTAATTGGATCCTGTCTAAATTGGCCCTACTATGTGTATGTATGAATGTGAGTTAGGGACCTTAGATTGTACACCCCTTGAGGGTTAGGGATTGATGTGAATGTACAATATATATATGTAAAGCGCTGCATAAATTGATGGTGCTATATACAGGTGAAACTCGAAAAAATTAGAATATCATGCAAAAGTTAATTTATTTCAGTAATGCAACTTAAAAAGGTGAAACTGATATATGAGATAGACTCATTACATGCAAAGTACGATAGTTCAAGCCGTGATTTGTCATAATTGTGATGATTGTGGATTTGGGGTTTTCATGAGCTGTAAGCCATAATCTCAGAAAATTAGAATATTACATGCAATCAATAAAACAAGGATTGTACATAGAACAATATCGGACCTCTGAAAAGGATAAGCATGCATATGTACTCAGTACTTGGTTTGGGCCCCTTTTGCAGCAATTACTGCCTCAATGCAGCGTGGCATGGAAGCTATCAGCCTGCGGCACTGCTGAGGTGTTATGGAAGACCAAGATGCTTCAATGGCGGCCATCAGCTCTTCTGCATTGTTCGGGCTCATGTCTCTCATCTTTCTCTTGGCAGTGCCCCATAGATTCTCTATGGGGTTCAGGTCAGGTGAGTTTTCTGGCCAATCAAGCACAGTAATCCCACGGTCCTTGAACCAGGTTTTGGTGCTTTTGGTAGTGTGGGCAGGTGCCAAGTCCTGCTGGAAAATGAAGTCAGCATCCCCATAAAGCTCGTCTGTGGAAGGAAGCATGAAGTGCTCCAAAATCTCCTGGTAGATGGCTGTGTTGACCCTGGACTTAATGAAGCACAGTGGACCAACACCAGCAGATGACATGGCTTCTCAAATCAACACAGAATGTGGAAACTTCACACTGGACTTCAAGCATCTTGCAGTGTGTGCCTCTCCATTCTTCTTCCATACTCTGGGTCTTTGGATTCCAAATGAGATGCAAAAGTTGCTCTCATCAGAAAAGAGGACTTTGGACCACTGAGCAACAGACCAGGTCTGTTTTTCTTTATCCCAGGTAAGACGCTTCTGACGTTGTTTGTTGTTCAGGAGCGGCTTGACAAAAGGAATACAACATTTGAAGACCAAGTCCAGGATCCGTCTGTGTGGTGGCTCTTGATGCACTGTCTCCAGCCTCAGTCCACTCCTTGTGAAAGTCCCCAACACTTTTAAATGGCCTTTTCCTGACAATCCTCTCCAGGCTGCGGTCATCCCTGCTGCTTGTGCACCTTTTTCTTATACACTTTTCCCTTTCACATAACTTTCTATTAATCTGCTTTGATACAGCACTTTGGGAACATCTAATTTGTTTTGCAATTACCTTTTGAGGGTTTCCCTCCTTATGGAGGGTGTCAATGATGGTTTTCTGCACAACTGTCAAGTCAGCAGTCTTTCCCATGATTGTGATTCCTACTGAACCAGAGACCATTTAAAGGCTCAGGAACCCTTTGCAGGTGTTATGGCTTAATTAGCTGATAAGAGTGGGACACTTTGAGCCTAGAATATTGCACCTTTTCACAATATTCTAATTTTCTGAGATTGTGGATTTGGGGTTTTCATGAGCTGTAAGCTATAATCATCACAATTATGACAAATCACGGCTTGAACTATCTTGCTTTGCATGCAATGAGTCTATCTCATATATTAGTTTCACCTTTTAAGTTGCATTACTGAAATAAATGAACTTTTGCACGACATTCTAATTTTTTGAGTTTCACCTGTAAGTACCTGTAATAATAATAATAATAATAATATGTGCCCCCTTAACATAACATGTGCCCATCAGAGTGTACCTTAACATAAAATAAGCAGCATGTTAACATTTTATTTGTTTCAATCCCTCACCGAGTCATTTTATCACTTTTTATTTTGGTTTATCGCATTGATTTTCAATTATAAGTCTGTATAGGAATTTTTGGGAGCAGCGCAACACTGTTTTACACTTATGTAGAAGCACAGCTGTACTTAAAATAATGTAATATAAAGGTATATTCACAGGTGACTTTTTTTAGGAGTGTTTTATGACATTTGTAATTAGGTTTCTCATCTTCATGGAATTGTGCATTTCCTTCACTTAGAGTTGACAGGAAATTTTTAAAACTATGATAAATGTTCTTTAATTTTGATGACTGTTGAGAGAATGTTTGATTGGTGTCGTTATTCCTGAAGCATGTGTACATGCTGACAGATCTATTTTTCTCTCTTGAGGAACAACTGATATTAAATGGCAACTTATAATGCAAAGGGAGGTATTCCTGGAGGATACATTTCTCTATACGTCTCTTTAATATAAATATTTTAAATGGATAATAAATATTCCACATTCAATGTCTCAGAACCACTTCCCTAAAGTGGTTGTAAACCTCAGACATGAAATATGAACAAAGCATATCCCTCTGTAGTGTGTAGAGAGCAGTTAAGAGCAGTAAGTGTCATTTCTGTCTGCTGCTTCATTTCTCTGCTATGAGCATGAATCACATCTGACAAGTCTTCCCGTCACCAAAAAATGATGGTTACAGGGAGAGAGCTCCAGCAGATTGACCACTTCAGCTCTGTCCCTGTGAGTTGTGTGGACGGGGGTGTGTCTCTTCCTTCCAAACAGCTCTTAAAGCTTTTCTCACTCTCTGCAGTGTGTAACTTCAGCTCTCCGCCCCCATTTTTCTGCCAGCTCAGGCAATCTTTATAAATTCTGAATTTTGAACAGATGTAGAGAAGAGAATACTGCAGATAAACAGGTATAACATGTAAAACCACATCTTTAAAATCCCTAACAATTTCCACCCAGGGAAACAAGTGCATGGAGCACTTAGTTTCACTTCAATTCAACATGTGGCTAAGTGGTCAGATGCTTGAACCTCCCCCCCCCCCACACTGCTGTCCGATCACACTGCTAGCAAGAAGGTGAATACTTAAGGAGGACTGATTGACAGTGCTCATCTCTGGCAGCAGGTGCATTCTGGAGAAAGACACCGTCAATCAGCACACCAAGAGAGGAGCCAGTTCCACTGATAAAGCCACTAGTAAACAATCAGTCAGTGCTGCATGGCTGTGTGATCGATCAACCAGTGCAGTGGATGTTTATTAGCAACCAGCAGATTTATCACACAACTCTGCAACACTGACTATTTATTTACTGTTGTGAATGAACAGTCAATTCTGGTGGAGCTGTTTGATCTATCTGCCAGTGACATCTATGTTTGCAGTCAGCAGATCTATCACACAGCCCTGCAGTACTGACTGTTTATTCATAGTAGTAAAGATTCAGTTAGTGCTGTCAGGGCTGTAATTTGACATGCATTAAAATGTACACAATGAGAATCTTAGAGAGGGGACAATGCCTAGTACTGTGCTGTTGCTGCCCTGTAGGAAACCTATAAACTAGGCTTCAGCCTGAAGTGAATCTACAGCATAGCACATACAGAAATAAAAAAATATACTTTTAACCACTTGTCCTCCTGAGTATTTACCCCCCTTCATGACCAGGCCATTTTTTGTGTTACGGCACTGCATTACTTTAACTGGCAATTGTGCGGTCATGCAACGCTGCACCCAAATTAAATTTACTGTTTTGCCCCACTTATTGAGCTTTCCTTTGGTGTGTTTTTAATTTTTTACACTATAAGCAAAAAAAGACAGACAATTTTTTAGAAAATAACAATATTTTGAACTTTTTGCTATTAAACATGTCCAGTAAAAAAATTTTAAAATTCAAATTTCATCATAAATTTAGGCCAAAATATATTCTGTGACATGTCTTTGCTAAAAAAAACCCAATACGTGTAAATTAATTGGTTTACGTGAAAGTTATAGCGTTTACAAATGGAGGTATAGATAATGGGATTTTTTTTTTTTCTACTAGTAATGGCGGTGATCAGCAACTTTTACCGGGACTGCGGCGGACATTTTGACACTGGAGGGGGAACTAACTTGGTGCCACTGACATCTTCAGTGACTCCAATACAGGGATCAGTGCTAAAAAAAAAGCACTGACACTGTACTAATGGCACTGGGCAGGAAGGGGTTAATGTGAGGAAGGATCAAAGGGTTAACTATGTGCTGGAAGTGTTTTACTAGGGGGCGGGTGTTCTTCATTGTAAGCACACTGATCGGGATGACTGTACTGTGCACAGCCATCCCGAGCAGTGTGTTTGAGCTGACGGAGGAATATTGTTTGTAAACAAAATAATCTTCTTCTCTGTCGGAAATTCTCGGTAATCACCGGGCAGTAACACATTTTTTTTCACACAAAGTTGTCATCTAAATTATATATACTTTATATATAATGGAAATTATATTGCATTATTATATGCATTATTTTTTGCATTTCCATTTTTGCTAAGCTTGTCATAATTGGTGTAGAAGGGGACATATTGGGGATGATTTACTAAAGACAAATGGACTATTCAAGTTGCAAGTTTAGTTGCACTTTGCAAGGGAATTTTTGCTCCAGAGCCTAGTAAATGAGGTAAAGCTTTTCAACGAATACTCAATCACATGCATGGGAAAAAAAAAAAAAACATCATTTTTGCTTGCACGTGATTGGATGATGGAAGTCAGCAAAGCTTTATCTCATTTACTAAGCTCTTGAGCGAATTCCCTTGCAGAGTGCAGCTGCACTTGCAACGTGCATATTCTATTCTACTTTGGTAAATCAACCCCATTTCATCCACACACTCGCTTATCTGGGAACTCTCATCTGCTATGGGTGATACAGTACTTAAAGTTCATTGTTCCTTACTTTCTTTTGAAACACTGCCATACAATGTGCATAGATTTGAATGTTGAGGTATATATCTGTATGGAATGCTGTTGTTGTAGTATGGTTATGTAAAACTATGAACTCTCACAGGTCTCCAGTCATATCACTGGTGACATGTTGATCTTGTTCTGAGCTCTGTACTCCTCAGATCTTTGTTCTAGGACTGCTTACTGAGGTTGCATGAATTTCAGACCTTTTATCTTGTAAGAGACCTTAGGTCATGATGGGATCTATAGCTTCTTATCATTTGATAAGGCCATCATGAGGCCTGATGATTTTACTGCCTCAGAATTCTAAATATAACGTTTTATTTTACACTTCCCATTACTTTTATACGTTAAAGTAGAAATGTGCTTGGCTTCTTACCTAAAGCAAATAAAATTATTTAGTTTTAAGTTGAAGATAGATTAATTGCAGGTGGATCTTCCTACTTTCCATCTGCCAATTCTAGTTAAAAAAAACCACTTCTACCCCCTTCTCTTCCCTCCATTTGACCCTTTGCCACCTCCCCCCCCATTCTTTTTTTATTCCCTGCTTTGTATCTTCCACTTGAGTCTCTCTCCCCCTTCCTTGCCTCCTTTGACCCACTTTCCTCCCCCTCTCCAGGATTCCTTTTTTTTCAGGCCCTCCCTAATCTGGTTACCAGAGATATCTCCAGTCAGCTTATGCTCCTTCAACACGTGTAGACTTAACCAACTGGGCAACATATTTCAAGTTTTATATGATCTTCACAAACATAAAGTTTGTGTTGTTTCTTTTTGGAAAATCGATTTAATTTTAATCACATTCCTTTTCTGCACAACAAATACTTTACCACATGGTACTATAGCATAGAGAGGCATTGCCTTCTTCCCATCCTGATGCCATCTCTTCCCCAGGTAAGTGGTGCTCATGCCCCTGGCCAACCACATAATGTAAAAGAGAATGTGATTCATCAGACCAGGTCACTTTCTTTTATTGCTCCATGGTCCAGTTCTGATGCTCACATGCCCATTGTAGTCAATTTTGGCTATGAACATGGGTCAGCATGGGCACCCTAACCAGTCTGCAACTATGTAGCCCCATACACAACAAACAGCAATGCACTGTGTGTTCTAACATCTTTCTTTTGGTACCAGCATTAACTTATTCAGCAATCGGAGCTACAGTAGCTCTTTTATTGAATCAGACTAAACGTGCTAGCCTTTGTTCCTCATGTGCATCAGCGAGTCTTGGCCACCTGTGACCTTGTTGCCAGGTCAATTGTTTTCCTTCATTGCAACACTTTTAGTAGGTCCTGACTACTGCAAACTAGGAACATCCCACAACAACTGCAACTTTGGTGTTGCTTTGACCTAGTCATTTAACTATTACAATTTAGCCCTTGGCAAAGTTGCACAAATCCTTACACTTGCCCTTTTTTCCTGCTTTCAACTCATCGATTCAGGGACACAAAAAACAAGATAAATATTGAGTGCTCAACCTAGCTTTGATAATTAAGTGCAAGTGAACAGCAAAATGGCTAAAGTGAGCTAAAGCACACTGGGATGTCGAAGTAGGTGTTATCTGTAGGTGTTATACAGTTATAGTGAGCACACTAGGAGAAATCAAAATATCACCTCTATATCAGAGTGCTAGTTATTGAACTATATATAAAATAGATTAACAGTTGGTGACAACTTAGCGTCTTGTACTGTGTGTAGCCTGTAAACAAGAAAATAGTGTAATAAATATAGTAAAATGCGTTAGTATTGTATCTAGAATAGACCACAGATAGTCCAACAAGTAAACAGAGGTGCTACTTTCTGGATTTTCCATTTGGATAGTCTAACCCTAGGGTGCCTAAATGAAGAATTAGATGTCTATACCATATTATAAAGGTTTTAAGCTATGTATGGAATTTAGGGTCTTAGGAGAGGAACTCCTTCTGTGTTGGATCCATTGCAGTTTCTCATGGTCTTCTTTCCTTTTTTTCCTACACGTTTAGATCTCTAGAATTAGCAATTTCCTTATAATGCCATGTATGCCATTAGTGCATAACATTTGTGATAGCTTGATCTGGATACACCCTCCCATACTAGCACTCTTGTGAGCTCAGCTCCATTACTCTCCAGAGAGAGAGTGCAGAGGGATGCAGAGGTATCTCCCACGTGTTCAAATACAGGCCAGAGACACAAGAACCATCACCTCTAGCCTGTGAGGTGCTATATTGTAGGTGTGTATGGTAGTCCAGTTATAACATGTGGATCTGTTAGTATACAAACATAATTTCTGTTGTGAGCGTTATTTACTAATTGATCTATTTTTATCTATCCACCTTCTTGTTTGTAGATCTGATGGTATCATTGGAAAATGTGCTTAATTACATATAATATTGCACCCAATTGGATGGCTGCTAAGTTGGGCTCAGGTACAATATAATAAATTACATATGTACTAATAACATTTATATCCCTTGATATCATTTTCTGTCAGGATTTACCAGTTGGGCAAAATAATTCCTTATTCTTTATTCTATTTTATTTGTGGGAGTTTTTGCTCTATGTTTTCTTATATAGCAATTACCATGCAGTATTACAGTATGAATTATTAATAATGTATCAATTGTTAGTTTATTTTGTTTATTTATTATTCACTAATCCAATTGATTATTTATTTATTTACCTGTTTTGTTCCTCTATTTATTCATCCATTAATTTTTTTTTATATCATTTTGTGTTTCCGTATTTAAGAAATCCTTCCTTCATTAAGCTTTGATGCCAGATCGGTTCTAATGTGCCAAGATTGTTGCTGAAGTGTTATAGATGGGGATTTTGCCTGGGTAACAGCCTCTGCACTGATAGTAATGCACCCTTAATTGTACAGCACCATCTGCTTTTATTATGACCATGAGTAGTTCTGGGGTAGGCTGAAGAAAGGGGAATTTCCCAGAAAAACATTCCTCTCACTGACATACCAAGTCAATCAAGGGACAGTGGCCAGAACCATTACATTTCACAGCATCTCCATTGTGGAGCAGCACCTCCATTTCTGTTTGACCAGGCAAGACGGCACAGACAGACTGAGCAGCATTGCTGTCACTTACTGAATTTACATACCCTCCTTTTTTTCCATGTTTGTGAACGTCCTTTTGATTTTATCACTACACTATGAGCTTTTGTGCTGGTTGTGTATGTTTTATTAATTTCAGGGACAACATGTTCACTTGTTGCCTAATATATCCCACCCACTTTCAGATGCCACTGCAACAAGATAATCAAAGTTATTCATTTTACCTGTCAGTGGTCATAATGTTTTCTGTGATTGGTGCATATGCTCACTATAAATCATTGGGTGCCTCCATTGTGCTCTGTAAATTCTAGCCTTATCAAAATAAAAATCTAAAAGAAACCATGAGAGGATATATGTTTTCCTTAAAATTAATACTGGTGGGCAAAAAAAAATACACTTTTGCCATCTGTTACAAATCCTGACAGATATCATAGAATTTACAGTGAGAGTTCTCCTAGTCTAGCCTTTCTCAACCTGTTCAACACAGGGAACACTTAAAATATCTTTCTGGTCTCAGAGGATCCCTGCTAAAAATCTCTGATCATTGCAACTGTCCTTATATGCACTACTGTCCTTATATGCAAACATGTGAGCACGTCAGCACTTGTGAATGCGCCTGCTAGCATTTTGTGCAAACAAGCATGGCCATGGATAGTATTGGCAAGGTTTTCTTATCAGCCCGTGCACATCTTTATAATAAATCCTGTATAATAATAATAATAATAATAATCTTTATTCTGACATCTCTTTCTTAGCACATGTCCAGCTTTGCTCTGAATGATGCCCTGACAGAACCTCTAACAACCTCTAGAGGAACCCTAGTTGAGAAACCCTGTCCTAGTCAGAGCAGACCTAACCTTTGTATTAGATCTCACTTTCTACTTCTCCACACAGAAATGTCCACATTTCTATACTTGACTGAACAGATTCAAGTTTTCTTGATGTATGATGGATCTCTTATCCCACAGAGCAAGACTACTCCTAATGTTCTCCATCTCAAAACTCTTATTTTTTAATAGACCTTTTTCTTATCAATCAATATGACCTTACCTTTTTCCCTGTTTCTCCATGGGTCCATTTTTATGATCTGACCATACTTCTATATACCTCTTCCTTGACCTTCTGGAGATACAGTGGGGCAAAAATGTATTTAGTCAGTCACCAATTGTGCCAGTTCTCCCACTTAAAAAGATGAGAGAGGCCTGTAATTGGCATCATAGGTAGACCTCAACTATGAGAGACAAAATGAGAAAAAAATCCAGACAATCACATTGGCTGATTTGAAAAGAATTTATTTGCAAATTATGGTGGAAAATAAGTATTTGGTCACCTACAAACAAGCAAGATTTCTGGCTCTCACAGACCTG